AGGAGACCGTGGAATGTCAAAATATCCAAAGGATTAAAAAAACCCAACTCCTGAGGTTTTAAAAGGTTCCATTTTGGGTCAGTTCGGCAACAGGCTGGGTTAGCCTCTGCTGTCACGTCGCCTGGGGTTTAAGCTTGAGCACCTCTTGTGCCCTGGCCAGGGTAAGGGGACAGGATCCCTGGCCGGGCAATGAGGTGTCTGCCGAGGAAACCCCCGTCCATCCCCCTTTGCAGCCCCACTGCTGTGTCACGGGAGCCCCGGCACAGCCCTGCTCCCAGGGGCTGAGCGGGGGGACTCAGAAATGGGGGGATTACTACTTCCTCGGGGGGGGGGGGTGGGGGGTTACTACTTCCTCGGGGGGGGGGTGTCTCACAGGGCAAGCAGGTGCCAATTAATCTATCCTGAACCAAAAGCAGTTGATTTGTCCTGATTAGACATCAAACTGAAAAAAAAAAAAAAAAAAAAAGTCTTCTCATTTGGATGAAGCAGCCTGGAATAAAATATTTAATTTTTGTATTCACAATTAGAACTGGAGAAGAAAAGAAAGTAATGGCAAAGTCAATACTTACTGATTGACAAGTATGGCGCTTACGGGACTACAATAACATATGCTGTACCACACTGAATTTTCTGAGTTCCCTCTCCCAAAGTGGTTGGAAAACGTTCACACAGAGACCTCAGGAGCCACAAAACACGGGTGTAAAACTGATCCTTCTCTATGGTTTGCCCACAGCTCTCCATGGGGAGGAAAGGAGGACGATGACCACGTGGGTTTTGGTGGTGGTGCCTGTGTGATGGCTGTGGTTCGATGGGCTTGATGCAGAGCAGCCACCAAGGGTTTGACAGCTGGACAACATGGACTGAACATAGCCTGAGAGTGAAATAGTGGTGAAGGGACTAGAGGTAGATTTTGTGTGTAGATTGTCCACTCTTGTTTGGTGTTGTGATAGTGTTATTTTCATTTTGGTGTGGGGAATTCTTTTTTTCTTTTTCCTTGTCGATGTGATTAGTGTTTGTGAAGTTTTTGTGCTGAATGTATATTTAATGATATGGTCTCTGTGGTCTCTGTGGGAAGGTGACCTTTCTCTGTGTGGATGGTCTCTGTGGGAAGGGACCTTTGTTGATCACCTAGTCCAACCCCATCTCCAGGCAGGGCCAGCCCCAAGGTCGAGCAGGTTGCTTAGGGTTGCACCCCACTGGGGTTTTAGTGTCTCCGAGGATGGAGACTGCACGGCCTCTCTGCCTTTGCCATCCAGCCCACTCATCTCACGAGAGAAAACAACCAGGCTGGTGGGCACAGAGCGCCCTTAGTAAATCCCAACCACCATCTTGTCTTTCACTTGCTTGCAAATAGCTTCTAAGAGGAGTTGCGTACTTAATGAGTAGTTACATATTTTCTAACCAATCCCATTTCTTTAATTATATTTAGAAATCACGCAAGTGAAATGCAGTTTTTAATGAAAATTGTTTCTGCAGTTATCCATCTAGTGGTAAATAGAAAGTGCCCCTTCACAAGCACCGGGTGAGTGCCACAAGCACAAGCAAGTCTTGTCTTCAAGCTCAACGCCGCCTCACAACTCCTGGTGATGTCTTCAATAAAATGCAGGTTTCTCAGCTCATATATCATTGGAGAGCAATGATGTATTGCTCTCCAAATATTGGCGTCTTTCATTTTTCACTGACAAATGTCTGACATTTTCATTAATAATCTCCAGTACTGGAGAAGAAATCTAAGAGAGAAACCATCTTAATATAACCGCCTGCTGTTACATGACTTTGTTTTTCTTACTTCTGGTTTTTTATGTAAATGCATTTCTGTAATTGATTGGTTTTAATATATTTATGTATTTAATTTCTGTATCAGTTGAAATTGTGTACATACCTTATTATACAATAAAGATATAATAAAATTACACTAATTCTATTTATGCTTTTATATTAATGTGGTTAATGCATTTATCTCATTTGTATTTTTGGAGTTTCTAGTCAGAACAGATTTTCAGCTGTAATACCGTTCTGCTTTATTCTTACCTTTTTATTGTAGATGCTGCTGTTAACTTGGTGCATTTTCATATTCAGTTTTCACTGAACTTTACTAACTCCAGTTTAGAAATAAGGAAATTTAATTTAAATCACCCACTTTTAAATCATTTAGCTTCCTTACTCTTGCCTAATACAGCTGGCACTGTCGAATCTAGGCTAGCAGATTATGTACGACCGCAGGCAGCATTAAAAGCAGCCAGGCCCTCCTCCTCCACTTGAAATCTGGCTTTCCTTTCCTTCAACCATCATTTTCCTGCCTGGCCTGTAACACGCAAATCCTGACGCATGTCACCGCTGGGATGAAAGCAGCGGACGGCGACCCTCTGCCATTGCCCGCACGGTCCCTGCCAGCTGCCCGGTGCCTTCCTCGGCCTCCCACGCGTCGCTCTGCCCGCCTGGGTTTTTCGGTCTCCTTCACTCTATGCAGACGCAGCCGGGCGAGTGCTGCTGCACTCGGCAGTTTTAGGTTCCCCAGCCAGCAACAGAGGGGAACGAACGGGATGAACTGTAAGAGAGAAGAGCACGTGAAGTCCTTGGCCGCAGCTTCGTTAGGGTACAAACTCCCGAGTTTCAGAGGCTCCTCGTCGCCTCCTGTGCAGACACACCCAGCTGATTCCTACATCATCTTCCTCATGTGAAAACAGAAGTAGCAACATTTTCCTTTTCAATATAATTAGGGATTTAATGTCATTATTAATAATTAATGTGTTGTTTAGATTTAGTTGCCTACTGAAGTCCATGTACTGCTAAATTATCGCCTTTCTGCAAGCGGTGCAGACCATGCTCTTTCTTCATAAAGCTTCTAACTCCGCATCCCAGCCGAGCCCAGTTGCTCCCCTCCAGCAGACTGACCGCAAGGGCTCCTGCGCAGTACAGAAAGGGTTAAATCCCGCTGGAGACCTGCTACTTCCCTCCCTGCTTTCCCTCAAACTCCTTCAGGCCTCTGTTCTCATTTCTGAAACCGCTACGTGGGAGCCTCCACAAACCTTTTAACCTCAGGGCAGCTCTTTCGTTTCCATCGTTTTCAGGCCACTGCCCAATCTCCTTGTCTTATTTTAATTTTAAAAACAAACCCGCATTTGTCCTGAGTATCAGTCAGCTCCTGGTGTAATGACTGAAAGAACCTTTTTGTTCACCCTCCTCTCCTTTCTATGGGGCATCCAAATTGGTCAAATGTCTGGAAATCTTATTTTTCTTTTACTTGGCCTGACTCCTATTTCATCATCTGAAAACAAGTCAAATCACCCCAAATTGGTGGCTATTACGCTAAACTATCATGCTGTCTGATCTCAGGCAGAAAAGCAAAATAAATCTCTCTCTACGTCAGAAACTCAGCATAATTCAGCTGACACAATATCACTGCCATATTACTCCAGCAGACGGGCTCAGTTATAGCTGTCTCAATGTCCAAATAATCCAAAGTCTCTTCCTCAACCTTCTCATATGTGCCCCTTGTAAAGACTTGGCCCCCACCATGTATCCTGTGAAGTGAGCGAAAGGCAGGGCACAGCAATAGTTAAATATAGTTTAATAGTTAAATATACCTAGTTGAATGGGGTGAAACCCTGGCCCTACTGAATTCACCCGGCAATTTGGGGATTTGACATTACTGGGGTTCAATAAGAGAGCAAGAGCATTAGCGAGCAGCTTTGACAAGCAGGAAGGAGACCGGCGTGCCTGGGAGGGCTTCCCATAGTGCCAGCTCCCCTCGCAGCCCTGCGCCCGTTGCTTTCCCGTCCGCGGGAGCTGCCGGGGACCCTTTTCCGTCCTGCTGCTCTGTGCGCAGAGCGAGCTGCGGGCTGGGCGTCTGCCTCTCAACACGCCACAGCATTCGGTTTGGAGCAGATGGAGAAGGCAGTTAAATGCTAAATGGTCTCCGCTCTGCCTCATCGTTTACCGACGTGGCAAAACTTTTATTATACAATATTTTTTCTTTTTTTGCTTTCCACCGTCTTTCTTCCTGGCTTTTCCAGTGGGAGGCAGACACAGGCAGCAAACAAGGTGGGGGATACCCTCTGAAGCTTAATTAGCATCACCAGATCTCACCTAAAACATTCCTCACAGAAAGCAGGAAAATGTTGATCTTCATTTCCCCAGCTGCGCAACATGGCAAACACTCTGGGAAACGGTGCTTTTCCCCCACTCACTCCTGCTGCGACCCCCTATATCCCAACAGATGCCTCCAGGTTGTAGTGGGAGATTTATATCCACTATTTGCAGGTTACTTGGAACAAGAAAAGAAAAAAAAGAAAAGAAAAGAAAAGAAAAGAAAAGAAAAGAAAAGAAAAGAAAAGAAAAGAAAAGAAAAGAAAAGAAAAGAAAAGAAAAGAAAAGAAAAGAAAAGAAAAGAAAAGAAAAGAAAAGAAAAGAAAAGAAAAGAAAAGAAAAGAAAAGAAAAGAAAAGAAAAGAAAAGAAAAGAAAAGAAAAGAAAAGAAAAGAAAAGAAAAGAAAAGAAAAGAAAAGAAAAGAAAAGAAAAGAAAAGAAAAGAAAAGAAAAGAAAAGAAAAGAAAAGAAAAGAAAAGAAAAGAAAAGAAAAGAAAAGAAAAGAGAAAAAGAAAAGACAAGACCTAGAGAGAACCAAGTTCTCCTTCGCTTTATCTGCTCTGATAACAGCTATCGCACTGAGTCTATCGCAAGCCCTACGGGCACTCGGCAAAATGCGTAACTCCACCGACCTGCTAAGGTGGTCAAGAGAAAGCAGAAGGGCGTTTGATAGGAACTTTTCTTTGCCAGCCTCAACACCGAGCACTATCAACACCCTTTATAAAGAGTTGTATCTGCTGCGGGTTGATAATGGTGAGCAGGGGCTTTCATTGGTATAGGAAGTAATCTCGTTGACCTTCAGCGGAGAATAAGGTATAAAAACCAAAGTGATTTTCTTGGGCGGCTGTTTGGACACCGGTTGAATTTCTTAGTTTCTGAGGAGGACGTGTTTTGGGGAAATTTTGTGAGAAAATGGCAACTTTAAACGAAAAAAAGACCTGCAGCGAGCGGATGGAAAATTTCCGTCGTTTCGTCTGGAATCCAGAAACAAAGCTCTTTATGGGAAGGACCTTAATTAACTGGGGTAGGTTTTCATAAACAAGAGTCTTCTCATCCTTCCGATATCCACTTAAAAATCTTGGGGGCGGTGGGGCATCCTAATGAACGGGACGTAATGTGGTGGCAGATGTGCTGTAATTGTTGAAGACATCAGTTCTCATATGTGCTCCTGGGCCCCTTTTAGGGCGGCCCTGTATGCTGAGTCAGTATTAGATCCAAACTTTGATCTAAGTCGTTCCTGCAAATATAAGACTTTAAACTGATTTTGGACCAAATATATCAAAAGGCTAAAACGTTAACACATTAACAATTAACTTATGAATCGCTAAGGGGGTGGTTACAGTGTGATTCCGACACTGCTGGCTATAGGGGGTTCTGGTATACGGAGAATTTTGTTTAGTCGGTGGGTTTTGTCCAATTCTCTGGCAACATATTTTGCTTCTCCAAAATTCCTTTCTAAATTATTGTTTGCTCAGTAGATCTTCTTTTTTTATCATCGCGTGCTAATGCAAACTTGTGTCTACGATGATGATGTGTCATGTCAGGGCAGCCCTGGCCATCACAAGGGACGTCCCTGCTCTTCCCAGTAGCCGCGAGTTTCCGGATGATTTTTTTTTTTCTGCTGTGAAGCCTGTGGCTTATTAGCCATTCTTAAAAACCATGATTTTACAGAAAATCAAACCGAAACGTGAACCTTTCCACTTTGGAGAGAAGAAGGTGCTATGAGGCGCTGATGATTATAGGGAGCGGTTTCTGACGGCACCCCCAAAATTCTCACTGGCTGCTTGTAGGGCACCGGCCGCCTGTAAGACACGTTCCGCGCACGCAGACAGCAACACGGCCTCATTCTACATCTCACACCAGAATAAAATTGTGAGATGACACATTTTGCTGAAGGTGATTTCAGATGTAAAAGGCAGTGAGGTGATAACAGGTCTGAAATCAACACACCTGAAATGCTGGCATCTGTCATCCAGATAACACAAGGAGCAACTTGGTTTTGTCGAAGAAATACCTTGGCTGTGCTGCTTAGTCCGTGTGTAATGACCAGATAAATTGTCTTAATATGTGAAGTGACATCAAGAAGCCACACGATCTTTTAAGCTTTAAATAATTTGAGCTCAGCACCAACTACTTCAAAAATCCTTGTAAAACTGAACAAGTTTACAGCCAAATTTTTCTAGAAGAATATTCTTTCGAGTGTAGAGAAAATGATCCAAAAAGCCCAAGTGCCTTTGCAGGGAAAAACCCCCCTGGGGCCAAGGGCAGAACGGAGATGGCCGCTGCTGCTGGGACGGTCCCGGCTGCGGAGGGATCAGCGCACTGCCTTGCTCGAAAAATGAGATTTTTGCCCTCATTTTTTTCCCACAGTGTGGATCAGCCTGTACTACCTGGCTTTCTACGTGGTGATGTCAGGGCTGTTTGCGCTCTCCATTTATTCTTTAATGAGGACAGTGAATCCGTACGAGCCGGATTACCAGGACCAGCTGAAATCCCCAGGTACTGCCAGGGCCCCCCTGCTGCTGCCCCGGGGGGAGTTAAACCCCCCCAGAGCCCCGCAGCGGCTGCGTGGGGCTGGGCTGGGCTGAGAGGCATCAGCATAGCCTCTCATTTTTATATGTGTATATATTTTTATATATGAAGATATACCTCTTCTCCCCATGGGCAGGGGTCAGCCCCTGGGGAAACCCTGGGTTTTGCTTCAGCCCCCCCAAGCACCCCAGAGGATTTTGGGGTGCCCGGCAAGATGGAGAGGCGCTGGGGCGAGCAGCCTGGGGTGGGTATTTCCACGCTGGCCGGCAGCATGGAAAGTCCCTGGGAGAGCAGGAATCCCTCCCCCGGGATATGTTGTGCCAGCGGCCAAGCAAGTAAAAATAAAACAAAGACATACGGGATTAGAAATAAAGATTTGTGGGACATGAAGTGAGACGGGAGGGACGAGACAGCACCAGCGAGAGATGATCAGTACATACTGCTAAAACTTCACCCCCCCAAATGGCTTGGTTTTGCAAGTAGTGGGAAAGAAAAAGGGACTTTTTCAAAGCTGTAGTCCTAAAAATTATTCTGTCCGACTCGCTGAATTTTGAAGTTTCGTTTCCCAATATTCAGTAAGCTTGATGTTTGCTGGCAAAATTATTCCTGTAAAATATTAAGCGTGGCTTTGTCAAAAGCTGTTTGTCACACTGCAGCACGATCTGTTTCTTTAACCTGACACGACCATTATAACTGTTATTTTTAACAAGTCCTGGGGAAATCCAGTGCAATTGCTGGAAGGATTTTGCAAGCTGCTCTGATAACAGCACGAATATACCTGAAAAGTTTAGCAGTAGCAGAGGCTTCAGGTTTTTTGGTTGAACAACTCAGAGCTGAGATGGTTTCTGTATGTGGTTAAATCCTCCCCAGCAAAACCTGGGGATCTCCTACACTTACACAATGAATCTTGATGCAGCATAATCGCTATTGTCAATTTAAATTAAAAAATCTGTGCCTGGCACCTCTCCTCTGCTTTGCCTTCCCTTTTCTTCCCCCACGAAGGTGTAACATTACGACCTGACGTTTATGGGGATAGAGGACTACAAATTTATTACAACGTATCCGACAACAAAACCTGGGAAGGTTTAGTGACAACTCTTCGGACTTTTCTGACAGGTAAAAATGAGGTTTCCTGCATAATATTGAAGGAACGTGCTGTCGCTTCTCCCTTACTGGGTCTGAGGACCTTAAGTCAGTGTTTCCATTTCTATTTGTCCTTCTGAAATCAGAGATTTTGAGTGGAAAATGCATCTTCTGAAAGGGACGAGCAAATCACCCCATGAATCTATAAATCCAGCATATGTAAATATGTCTATTAAAGCAGAGCCCTGCTTCAGAGCTTTTAGGGTTGGTTTTTTTTTTTAATGCTGAATAGCCTTAATAAAATAGGTTAATAAAAGTTTGAAGGAAGAGGGTAAAAAGGGTCTTCAAAACTAGTCTCATCTAAACTAATCGAATACTGTCTGTGACCATAAATTTCAGTGTCGTAATAAGTCTTGTGAAGCTGTTACATAGTGTCATCGGAGAGTATAGTCCAAGTAGGTTAGGTGCTCCATTTGCCTGTTCATATCTGAATGCATTTGTATTCCTTGCAAGACTTAATATCACAGTTCTGTTTCTCATACATATGTTGAGAAAAATTATATTTGAAATGGACTTTCTATGGAGGTATCAACCCAAATTGCCAGACTTAACTGAATTTGATCTCATTTTTTGCTTCGCCTGGGTGTTCTAAAAAAAAAAAAACCAACAAAAACCAACCACCAAGCCCAAACAATTTAAGCTTTCCTTGTTCCATCTAATTGCCACTTCACTTGCAGTACAGTTTCCCATGGTGTAACCTCCAGCCTGATATTGGGATGTACAATTTATATCTGAAAAACTTCAGCGGGGAATTTTTCTTTCTTCCTTCACACATCTAGCATATACGCCAGCTGCTCAGCGCCCGAACATCAACTGCACCAGCGACACATACTTCATCCAGGACACCTTTGATGGCCCAAATAAAACAAAACTGTCCTGCAAATTTATCTCAGATATGCTTCAAAACTGCTCCGGCATCACAGATCCTACCTTTGGATTTCCAGAAGGAAAACCTTGTTTTATTATAAAAATGAACCGGGTAAGTACAAGCCCAGGGTGCTGAGCAGGAAAGAATTCACCGAGAAACCCCCAGTCGCTCGAGTCTCTGCTGGGCAGCTGCTCTGTCGTCTGCTGCCATGGGCTCTAATCTCTGCTTGCTACTGGGAAGACAAATTCATGCGCTTTTCCTCAGACCTCCAGAGTCACCAGAGAAATAGTGAGACTTGGTCACCACCCCGAAGGACGTAACGTAGGGTAAAGCGATCTCTAAACCGACTCTCTCAAGCTCTGGGGTTTGTTTAGTTTTGTCAGCATCTCTGTAGTGCTGTTGTCTGACGAACTAGTACGTAGACCAGTTTCTCTTCTGCCACACTGCGATCCTGTGCCTTCGGCTAAGGCGTTAAGATGTGACAATAACTGAAGTGATTTCAGAGAGGTGATACTCGCACACCTTATTTCTCCAGGCTGCAAAGAAAATCTTTAGCAGAACCTGTAAAAACAAAATTCAAACCTGATGGATACAACTTTTTTTTTTTTTTTTGAGAGGAAAAAGGGCATCTTCCATGCTTCCTTTAATTTTTTCAGGGCATAGACAAAGGCATAGGCATTTTATTTTTGTTTTCAGGTAAGATTCCGAGCCTTCTAGTTCAATTTTAGTACAAAGGGAAGAGCTCATATTCTCCACTGGTTCCTGACAGACAAAATCACTTCATTTTTGGTTGGGCTTGCACCCTAGACTTGGGCAATGAACGTTTTTAAGAATCTGTGCAAGGTCCAGCTGTGAGAGGAGAGTTGTGCCCCTGATTTTGGCAGGTGAAACACAGGTTTTTTCTCCATAAAGTCTTTGCCTCTATCAGCAAGGCTGCACGCCAGCCCCGCAGGGGAAAGGTGCTCGGGTAGTGCCTGGCGGGGGGGGCTTTACCTCCTTCCACCTTTGCTGCTACAGAAAGTAACCCCACTATTTTTGTAGGATCAGACAGGTCCAAGAGTTTCTGCCAAAGGTTTTGTACCAAGGCATTTGATGAAAAGCACAGGGATTCAGGTTTTCCTTTATTTTCGTGCCACTAGCTGTTTTAAGAGACTCCTGGCTGAGAGCAAGCGGTACGGGCAGGCAAATGAGCCGGGCTTGCCAGGGGGTGCAGCCAGGAGCGAGCCTGCCTGCTGTGCCCATGCCCGGCAGCACGGAGTCCTGTTTCTGAAATACCCAGCCACAACACCTTTTCACCCAGGTACCTGAGATGAGGTGACCCGTTTGCCTTACACAGAAACACATTTAAGCAGCATCTGAAGCTCCGTTCATCATTTGCTTGGTTTTAGCTCAAAACAATTCCCAAGATGACCAAATATGTGTTTTCTATTTCAGATTATCAAATTTTTCCCCGGCAACGGCACCGCACCAAGAGTGGACTGCACATATGTAGTAAGTGTACGAGGTCCGAGTCTCAAAAACTTCAAGCGTTGCAGTTCCTCTAGCATGTGAAGTGCAGTTACAACCAGAAAGATTACCCTGCAGCTCTGGAAACCAGATCATTCTGGCCAAATACTGGGAATATCCTCAGTTCTGTGCAATTTCTTGCACCAGCGGATATCCTGAGAACAACAACAAAAAGTTTACTTTCCTTTAAATCCCCTGAAAAACTTATTTTTCAGTGCTGCAAAGAATATTTGCTGTTTACTTTCAGCTCCCACTAGTCAAGCTGACACATCAGAGCAGCTCCTTCAGGCGCTCTGCACGTTTCAGCAGGTCCCCCGTTCACTGAACTCACAACTGCTAGAAAAGAACACTTGCCCATTTTTCTTGGCAATAGTAACAGCAGGAGATTTCCACTTTTATTTGAAAAATAAAAAGACGACCGGCGCTAACCAGACTGCTGAATTTGAGTTTTAATACGGACCGCACAGCTTTTAGCAGCAGTAAAACACTTGCCCGGGGCTGGCTCAGGATGGCCCAGCCAACAGAGCTGCTTTCTTGCTTTACAAACAGGGTGACGAGACTCGCCCGCTGGAGGTGGACTACTACCCCGTGAACGGCACCTTCAACCTGCACTACTTCCCCTACTATGGAAAAAAGTCACAGGTGGGTGGCTGCTCATGTATTTCAGTATCATTTTTCTTCTTTATCTTTGTACCAGGTGAAACGTATGGGGCATCTCTGCAATCTTGAGAGAACTGTAGAGAAAGCTAATTTTAAGACTTTATTTTTAAAGGGGTAGTGTAAAATTAAAGTACTTTTCTTCTTTCCTCCTAGCCCAGCTACAGCAATCCTTTGGTAGCTGTGAAATTTCTCAACATTACGAGGAATGTAGAACTTAAAATTGTGTGCAAAATCATTGGAGCTGGAATTACCTTTGATAATGTTCATGATCCGTATGAAGGAAAAGTGGAATTTAAACTGAAAATAGAAGACTGAGCAGCAACAGAGACACTTCTGAAATACACGTGTCAAGAGTGACTTACCTATTATCACATTCATCCGTATTTATTTTCTATGATTTCCATACAAATTTATGCAAATTGCAGCACAAAGAGACATTTTCTACTGAAAGGTGACCCACACAGCTAAAAATCAAGATACCACTCTCAGTGCGTGAAGGAGAAGAGGACTATCTCGATGTACATAGCTTACTATTCCGAGGTGACGGTATGCTGCTGCTGTCGTGCAAGTCTTTGTAAAAACAAATTTCCTCCCAACTGTGCAGCTTCAAAGAAAATAAGCATAGGATCAAAACGTCATTTTCAGTCACTTTCCACACGAGAACCAATAATTGATGTATGATACTAAATCTTGGATCTTGAGAAATAGTTAGAAAAAGAAACCAATTTCAAACAATACTTTGAAATACTAGCAAGCAATATAATTCTCAATCTCTCTTCTGTGAGATGTATAAATTATAAAAGTATATTAAAATTATCTGTATCAGTGTGTCGGGTTTTTGTACTAGTCAGCAGATTTTTTTAGTTGATGAATCACTGACTGCAAAAGAAGTGAATGTGAAATCTGTCCTCTAGCTTACAGATTTTATTGTACCACTTACAACTTCTGTATGTGTGTAACTTAATAAAAATGACCAGTAAGACTGTAACACCCAGTTACATTCAGGAGAACTGTGTTCATTTAGCTATTAGTTTTTCGGGGTTTTTTCCCCAGTAGAATAGCCTTATATTGCAACGATGAGTTTTGGGTTACTTGGAATAATCTGGAAGATGCTGAAGTAACAATAAATCCTTAAGTGAATCTGAAATTTGAGAAGTTTAACTCTACCACATACAATACAAATAGACAGGATTGCTCTGTCTGTATAGTATGTTTACGTTAGGTGAAGTCCAGGATGCTTCAGCCAGAGAATAAACATTGCACAGAAAAAAGATACTCAAGAGAAGAAATCATTTTACATCTTCACTGCCTGGATGTTTTAGGAAGTGGAAAGAGGTAACAGGTCAACCGCCTTTACTACAGTGACACTCAGCCAGCTTGCAGAAAGAAATCAGTTGGAGGGGAGTATTTCCCCTTCGAAACCACAAATGGAATTTGAGCCTTTCTTAGAAAAATTGGGCATTCTGCATTCCAGAAACAATAAGAAAATGCATCCTCATACAAGAATTTATCCCCCCCTGCCCCCCCAGCCTTTCCTGTTTCAATTTTTACAGCGGGACTTTGCCTCTCTTCTAAGAGACTGAATGAAAATCAATTTTATATCCTTGTTGGAACAAAGGTCTCCCCTGGGCATCTTTCCAAAATAATATGGAAAACAATGAAATAATAAAATAGTTTTGATAACAAGATAGTAATTCATGCTCAAAAGTAATTCAAGGTTGTCTATAAACAGAATGTTTAAGTATTGCCAAGAAAACCAAGAACTCTTCCCTTAGTGTCTCTAACATAGGCAGATTCTCCGCTTGGCTGTATTTGATTTAGCGCCTACGGTTTGCATGTTTGAATCGGGCAATGCGGTATTACAGGCTCATATTTTAGTCAGCACTGTGGCGCAACACAGCAAGATGCTGAAATTTCCCACGGGCTGGGTACCTGCACAGCCGCAGCGTCAGGATGACGGCCCAGACTGACCTTACAAAAAGACCTTTGATAGGATAAAAACCTTGAAAGGAAAGACTGAAGTGTCCCCGTGTTGACTAAAGGATGATGCGCTCTGAGGTTAAAAAAAACCGCATCTGATTCTTTAAGTACAAAGATTCACCCTGAATTTAGATTTCTCTGTAACTTTTAGCCATCTGAAATTATTCTCTTTCTTTACTGGAATTACAAATAATAATATTAATACAGACAAGGTTTGTGGCTAGCGTAGCCAAAGCAGAAAAGTGCTGTGAAAGCTCTAAGTGTATTAATCTGGGTATAGTTAGTATTAGCTTGCCTGGAACCCAAATATAAGCACATTTAAATAGCAGAACCACCAGCATGCAAGTATTTTGTAATACTGTGATGGCACAGCCCAAAACGATATACGAGTATTTCATGTCATGAGTGATGTAACCATCAAAGCAGCAAAGACAGGCTTGCACAGCTGCACTTTGGAGACATCCAAACGACAGAAGTTACAAGATAAAAAGCAGAATTAGCAGAGGGGAAGGCAAACAGGCAGGGCATCCTGCCCAAGGCATAAGAGGGGTGACTGGCAAAAGCAAAACCAAGTTAAGGAGCAGATGAAATCCCCCTTTAGGTGGTGTGCGTATGTGTGGTGTTAATGAGTTCAGTAGTTTTGGTTTCAGGTTTAAAACTTCAATTCCTTGGGAGAGAGACATACACACACATGCAAGAACGTATATATAATATACATAAATTCAGTTACAACATTTGAGACATTTGAGAAGACCAAACAATATAAATGGGAAAAAGTTGTCAGGCTATGTGGGTTTTTGGTTAGGGAGCTGAAGCAGCATATTTAAGAACTAAATACAAGTAAAACCAAATTCCTGAGTTTAATGAGATGCTGATGAACTCAGACATGTCAGAGAAGGCAGGTAGCCCCCGTCTCTGGAGCAGAGGAGCGGGCAGCAGGCATTTCCAGAGGAGACGACCGGGTGGCCGTCAGCGCCAGACTCTGCCATGGGGAAGGTAATAACATGCCATGAACCTAGTCTCATTGACGCCATGATTTTTTATATCCAATAAATTTTAGTTTCCAGACTTATCCCTTCAAGGTGTTAAATAAAATCCCTGAAGATCAGCGCTGAGAGAAGAGAAACATGGCAGTTGCTTTGAGACGTATCTTCCCCTCGGCACCTCCATCTATTCTTATGACTACGTGTACGACTGGTAAAGCCAGCAATTTAAGTGCAAAGTCCTAATGTCTATTATTAAAAACAACGAAGAAAAATTAACAGAGTGCAGAAAAACACTGAATGCAAGCTCCTTGGTGCCTAAAGGATTTTATGCGCTATGACTGAGACTACAGCAAGTTCAAAACGTTTGCCCTCTACCTTTCAAAATCGCTAAATACTACATATTAATAATTAAGTCTTCACTTGGTCTCACGTGATGTCATTGCTATTGCACTTGGGAATTCCTCTCATCATTTCATATAACTGGTTTTAATCTCTCTTACCTGTAATAGAAGTCAGGCAGCGATTGATTCTGCAGCAAATAAAGCTGTCCAACCATGTGCTGCTTTCCATAATTAGATGTAGAGTAAGATGTAGCTGCATCAGTAATACTTGCAGAAAATATTTGATGCTTTGCACGTATACTCCCTTCACAAGCTTCATCTTTCAGATACAAAAGGTCAAGCTCAAACAAGATTATTTTGCTCAACACAACGTAAAAACGCACGTGAAGGAACAGGTGTCCCTTTCCTCGATTTCATTTGAAAAACTCTCTCACTGGGGACAAATACTTTTCACTTTTGTTCCCTCTCAGTTCCTTGATACCAGAGTGAGAACAACGGATGCACGGCACTTCTCGTTAAAAGTAGAAATTGGGCTGAGAATTCCCTTTTTAGGCTCCCACTTGCTCTAAAATGACAAGGAACTGAATTCCCGAGACACTTGGGACAACGTGCTTCATCATTAATGTGTGTACTTATGTGGAGTCCTACTGTTACCTGTGTGGGAATTCTGTAATTTCAATCAAAATATGTTCCAGAGGTTTATCAACATCTTTATCAACTGCATAACTAATTTTAATTATTTGGATTTCAAGTCCTTGAATATCATGCCAGTTTTCTCTCCTACAGAGATAAGCCTTTTAAAATGTTATCTTTTTGTGTGACCTGACATAAATCCAGTATTTCCTCTTATTTCTTTCTTATAAAGCAAAATACGAGTTCCCTTAGATCTCTTACTAAAAGATCTTGACATTAAGTATCAAATATCCAGGGGAAGGGCTTTTTTCTGAGTCTCTCTCCATTTTTCCAACACCCTTTTTAAATGATAGTGCTGCAAATTATTGGCCTGGCTGTATGTATTCAGATGTAAAATCACTTTCCAATCCGTGATTAACCTATATATCCAACATCAGAGTAGCTAGTTCCTTAAAACACCACGTACGAGACTTACATGCAGTTCTTGCCCACCTCAACACCCAGATCATTTTTAGGATCCCACATTTTCAGCACAATCTTACCTCCTACAAGTGTAGCTTGAATTCTTTGTTCAAATCATGTAGTTTAACGACAACTTTTTTTGGTCATGCCCTGCTTGCCAAGCAACCCCCACTAATCTGTCCTTTTCATTGTTTACTTCTTTTCTAACCAGTATCAAAATTTTTAAAAAATTTTATTTTCCTCTGGGTTGGGTTAAAGAAAACATTAAACAGAAGTACAATCTTACTTGATGCAGCTGCTCAGTCAGTGATAATGCCACAAGACCTGTTTTTGATTCAGCAGTAAACAGCGCATAACCTTTAACACACAATATGATGATATTGTAAAACATGCATTTAAAAATCGGAACACAATGAAACACAAAAGGCTTGAAGATGCCGACATACACCCAATCATTTCCCTAATCAGCTAAAAAGTTGCAATCTGCTACCACACTCGTTTGATAAGACCTAGTCTGTACTTTATCATTAATTTTATAATTAACTTTCCAGATTTTTAATTGTCTTTTAGCTGTTTGCTTAATCAGTTTTTTTAATAAGAGGTTCAGGGCTGATCTCAGACTCTCTAGACCACACTTAGACAGGACTTCCTCACATCACTTTGAAAACTGGCACTCTAGCATTTATTTTAGTTTACAAGAATTTACTCACAATTTCAAGGTTCATTAAAGATCAGCATCAGAAATGTAGAGATCCACTCTCTACCTAGTATAAAGTACCTGGGTTGCCTGTTGTAAGAGCGAAGCTTTAAGTATGTACCGTTGTATTTAACAAATTCTCTCAAGTTTACCTAATAAAAGAACAGGAACCTTGCCCAAAGCCTGCAACTCTGCTGTCTTTTAACATGCTACAATGCAGCAGAAACTTTCCATTCTGCTCTGACCAGCCCTCCAGACAGGTTAGGGCTGGCATCACTGCAATATTTACAGTGATGTACCATGATGTGTACGCAGTGACATGTTACAAAAGAAGATCAAATCTTTGAGCCTAGGTTTGGATTTCAACCTCTTCAAAACATGCAAAAATTTAACAAGCAAAAGATGTGTTCACAGAACAAAGCAAAGCACTTGTAAAGAGATCATGCTGGTGGGTTTTGATCTCTTCCCTCTGCCCCATCAGGACATTCTGCCCTTATCACAGCAAAACTGTGAATCAATAATCATGATTTTCTCTGGTTAATGTTTCACTGCTTAGTGCTGACGCACTTTGAGTACCTCTCTGGGGACAGCAGCTCTCCAATTGTGAGAGAGGCAGGCGCAGCTAGGTGACAACCATCACCATCCCAGATGAGAATTACCAGTGTAGACAGATGTTGAAAGTAGGAAATGCCTGGTCACGTCTGTTGTTGCCTTTCTTCAGTCCGGTCTCAGCACCACCTGTATGGGCTATCTGGGAAAAAGAGTTTATTATACTCTCTTTTCTACTGATGATCATTCCAGTAGTAATACATCAATGTTAGTTTTTCCCCCCCTTTCATTTTTTTTTATATTAAAGTAACATCCAATTTTCAGATTTCCCATTAATAGGAAAATTTCACAACCCATGTATTTGCTGATAAAGAAATGAAGAGATTTATCTTGTGACAGTCACCTCCTTCCATGAACAATTTACTAAATTATCATCTTCAAGGGCTGGTACCCTATCAGCCCCATTTATTTTTTCTTCTCTGCAATAGTTGACTTTTCTTGAAGGGTTTAAAAAAAAAAAAAAAATTCCAAAGTCATAATTGCTTTTCTTTAGTTAAGACAAGCAAATTCCTACAAAACAATCAAAACAGCTTACTTTTGAAACAAACAACTCAAGAAATCCTTCTTAACTTGTTAGACATGTCAAAATAGAGAGAGACAGCCTTTCAAAGCTCAGTATCACTTTAGAAAAACAGTAAAAGATGCACACTGTTCCCAGGGTTTATCTGCAGGACCATTTCAGAGATATACGCACACACTTTACAACTTTTCCTCTTCTTCAGATCACAAAAAAGTGCTGACAAATGAAAGGAGTACCAACACATCTCTTCCCTGTCATTTTCCCCCAAACTGAGCCCTTACTACCATTCTCATTACCTTTACCATCATTTCATCTTTCTTAAACTGAAATCTACTATCTCCTTACAGTATTTTCTATTTCCACAGATTTACTCAACAATTTCCTGTCCATGATTTCCTCTTCCATTCTGTTTCTGCTTTTGATCTTTCTTTCCAACCATACATGTGGTACCACCCTTTTCAGACATCAGAACCATATAGTTTTAAGTTATCTCCCACCTTCCAGTTCCTTTCATGCCAGGCTTGACATTATCATATCTGTTCTACATCTTTTTCTGCCTTTTTAAAAATAAATTTCCTACTAATAGTCCTCTTGTCTTCTCATCACCTTCTTCACAACTTAGACCTTCTCTTTTTATGCCCCTCTGTCAAGAACCTAACTGTCAATCTGTTCCTTCTCTTCTTTCTTTCTTCCCCTCCTCCTTCTCCTAAAGACTACGGCTAGGTAACTGCCTGAAATCCAGCAAGTAATTAACAAATCAATAGACTTTCTCTTGTTATTGATTGTTGCCTTTACTAGAAAGCTCTCTGGAAACAAAGGTAATATAGATTCATTCCCCCAAAGCACTCCAATGCTGCTTGTTTTAAACTCTCAAATTCCATTTCAGAGATTCATCAGCAATCAAAAGCAAAGTACCATCTTTTGAAATGTACGTTTTGCCACACTTTCACTCACACCTTGACCTTGTCCCATCTCAGGTCTATTCCACTGTTAAGAACCAGAAGGAAACTGTCAGATGCTTTCAGCCTTCCTTACCCAACATCCCTGTACTCACTCTTTGCAGCTAAATCTTGGATCACACACTGGAGATTCAGAACATACGGGAAAACTGGAATAACCCCCATGGACTGTCAAAAGGCCCTTGATACTGTTGGGCTCTGCAGGTAACACTGCTGCTCAACAGCAAAGATAATTTGAATCAGCTGACTCAAATGCGACATTAGCACGGCAAAGAATGACATCTTCAGTGAGAAGTGTTCAATTAGCCCGCCCAAAATGGTTTTCCCAGCCCATAAAATTAAGTAATTTGCTTGGTTCACTCGTATTACAAGGTTTGATACACTTCAAAAACATTCAGCGAGTATCAACTGCTCTGTAGTAAGCACCCACATCCCCTTACCACAGAAGATTTGTCAAGACATAATCTCTCAGAGAAAAAAACCAAACATGTAACACACTTCATATTTACCACAGGGTTTAAGTACCTGCAGGAGCCCTTACCACAGACAGAACAGTTACTAGACTGTAAGTTGTCTTTGCAACGACTCCCTGGAGTTTGTGGAAGCAACAAATCCTGACTCTGATTGCAGCCTGCAGAGCGACTGAGCCAGTTCAGTAACCTGCGCTTTCAGGGGAGAGCAGAGGATGTCATCTAACAAAAGGTTTAAGGTGGAAATAGATGAAGACCTGTTTTGAGGACATGGCAATGTATGACGGAAAGCCAGGATTGAGGAATATGGGATGAAAAGTTAGGACAGTAAGCGTGGGATTTTTAACAGAGAAGCTTGATTGAAGTACTAAGATTGGCCTGACATGCTGAGGACCAATGTGACTGAAATAAGACGACGTGAAAGAAGAGAGTACAAAGGGTATGATAGTGGTTTTTGCATCGTAAGTTACTGAGAGCTATAAGGACAAATTACTAAATCAAAGCAAAAAATCTGGGCCCTCTATAGTGTAGATGCAGTATCCTGAGACAGTTAATTCCAGGTCTTGTGATGAGAGGAAGTGAAATGTTCTAAAATAAGCCTAAAATTAGAAAAACCACAGAGCTTGTTAAAAATGCCCATGCGCGTTTTATTAATAAAAACTAACAGTGCCAAGGTTAAACAAGTCAAACAATTATAGTCTCTTTATATTCCATAAAATATTACAGAAAAGTTTATTTGTGTTTCAATAAAAAGACTACTGTCTTAGAATAGGCAGCTGACAGTATTTGTGCAGTTAATTGTTTGTGAATAAATTTAAAAAGACTACCACCTGCCCTGAAATTCCTTTTATAAAAATGAACTATTAAAAATGATTGACAAATTTTGAGTTAAAAAACTTAAAACATTCTCTATATTTAATTTCAACTTTATAATAGATTACAGGAAGATGCTTATGAAACAAATACAAACATTTGTTTCAGTACATGTCTTTATATGATAGACTTATAAGTATGTAAACAACTATATAATAAAAAGTTTCCAAAGTCTGCCTGTAAGAAATCAGGCAAATTTTACCATAAGCAATAAATCATTCCAAACCTTCAAGACATTTTATATAGCTGCACCAACTGGCAGTAAACATTTGCCAAAAACTTTGTAATTCATATGTCCCAACATACAGTGAAAAGTATATAAACTTGATGGAATCATAATGTTAGATATAATTTAAGGGAAAATAAGTTCACAACAACATTTCTGGAATTTAACATGTAAAAAAGTAGGACGTATCTTTCTTGTTTGGTTCTTTGGACACTGCGTGATTAACAAAAAACACTACTACATTAGCTCACTATCCCTCAAAAAGTGGCATAATCAAAATACACTCCAAATAAATTGCCATTCAGTGTATTAATTTTCCACAGAAGGACAGCATTTTATTTCTCAATGATGTGTCTACATTTTCTTTAGCAAACTTTGCAAGAACATTTGGGGCAAAATCCATTTTCCTTCAAGTAAAAAAAAAACCCAAACAAAAAACAACCAACAAACCAAAAACCCCTAAAACAAGAGTAAATAAAGGCTCTGCATTAACACACTGGTATCAAAAACACACATCCACACCACATTTAAAAATATCCTACATAAAACAATCCTTGTTTGCTTATCAGAGGTGCAATTTCTAAACTCAGAACTGCTTACCAATATTCTCCTTGAGGGATGGGGCAAAGTAATTTGAGACACTTCTCCCTAGAACAATTTATTCCTGAAGCTTGCTGAATTTTAACAAAAAAAAAGTCTACAAGCAAAGGGCATCAGTCGTCATCATCATTTTCATTAAAATCGTCATCGTCGTCATCGTCATCCCCAACATAAGAGACTGGTGTTTCAACTCTGGAGCCACTGTACTGAGATCCATTGGAACTTGTAGCCAACATCCCATCTCCACCATTGGAAAAGTCACTGGGAGAAAAAAAAAGAGGCCAGTTGGCATTGCTTAATGATTTTTCCCAGTTTACTGTGCTCTTAAATATAATCATATATCTATTCCATTCCTTTAACAAATCTGCCACTGCTACTTTATAAACTGTCTTTAACACACACCTAAGTTGTTTCTCAAAAGCAGAAACAGTTGAAGCAATTTTGAAATGATTCTTAGTATGTTTCTTCCTTTAGGTTTAATATAAAGATTAAATCCTTTCACAGGCACCTTGAACTATGCTTTCCAGGTTTCTTCTAAAGTACATTTAGTGTTAAGGCTACATAGCTATCTAAGCCCTTTAATATTTTTATGTAGCACTGGACACTTGCATCGCAAGTGAATCATGTCTTTCCAAAGCACTAATCTTGATTCAAAGACGTGAAAAATCAAGGAATTAATAGCTTCTCCTTAATTCTCTGTTATTACATGGTAAACTATCACTGCTACATGTGCTGTATTTTAAACTTGAAATTGTTTTCTTCTATGATGCTTTTCTTTTCTAATTAAAAAAACAAAAGAAAAAAAACCCCGAAAAAACAAAAATCAAACAACCTCTTCGGCATCTCATATTTTTCCCTCTGTGAGAGTATCCTCTCCCTGGATCAGCAGGTAGATTTAGAGAGTATCCACTTTCTTGAACGTGTTCTTTTTCCACCAAAATATTCACACCCATTGTAGATATGGTCTGAAATGTCTTGTTCCTATCCAGAAGTATTTTCTTTTAATAAAGCC